AAGCCCCATGACCGACAAAAAAAAAAAAAAAAGTAAAATTTCTTAGAAATGTACTTGCTTATATTTTCAAATAAAGCAATATGTAAAATTTAAATAATGAAGAAATTATATAAACAGTTGTATTTTCCTTTTTTATAAATCTCAAGTACTGATTTGAAAATATTATAATTACTCTAGCATGAAACAAATACTTTAAAGGCACAGCTATAATTTCTAAACTGAGTAAATAGAATTAGAAATTCACATTGCTTCCAACTGGTTCAAATGGAATCTGAAAGAAAAGAGATCCCTTATCTTTTTTACATTTTCTAACTAAAGCTTTGAGTCTTTAAGGAATATAGACCCTTTAAACACTCATAAAGAGTTAGACATGGTAGAATATGCCTATAATCCCAACTACTCATGAGACTGAGGCAGAAGAACCATGAATTTCAGGCCATTCTGGGCTAGAAAACCTCATCTCAGAACAGAAAAGTCTTTTAGAAATAGTTTTCTGGAATCTGTCTTAATGATTATCATTCAGAGGCCAGGTGTGGTGGCTCACACCTAGAATATCACCCAGGAGGCAGTAATCAGAAGGATTATGATTTGAGGCCAGCCTGGGTAAAAATAAACTAAAAGCAAAAGTACTTAATTGGTACTGTACTTGCCTAGCAAGTGTGTATAAAGCCTTGAATTCAATCTCTACCACTATTGTGATTTTAGAGTGAGATGGAAGAATCAGGAATGTTTGAAACTCGAAAGAAATAGATAAGTATGATAAATTTCAAAAACTTTCCTTAACGCATGTCATGGGAAAATACAAATTGGATTAAATATCATCCTAGAACAACGAATACATGGGAGAAGAATGTTCTTTTCAGTCAAAGAAGAAGTTGAATCTGGAAGCCCTGAGTTTAGGCTGATCCCCATGTTTTACATGCATTTGCATTTTTCCATGGAAAAGAATGCACTTAACATTCCCTGTCTGCAGGGATGGAAATGTTAAGTTTCTCTGTTGCCTCATTGCTAACCACTAGCTTTATTGTGGTAGTGGGCACTTCAGAGATGGCTAGTATAACTCAAGAACTGCATTTTTTATATCAATTAATTTAAATTTAAATAAGTACACTTGGCCAGTGGCTATTCTGTAGAATAATTTGTATCTATATCATATTGATACATAGTATCAAGATTTTCAAATCATGATCCCAGAACATTTTCAAACTTAGGTTAAGTGAGGTAGAATAACATGGAAATACTTGATTTAAAAACAATTAATAGGGCTGGGAAGGTGGCTCAGTGGTAGACCGCTTGCCTTGCATGCCAGAGGCCCTGGGTTCGATTCCTCAGCACCACATAAGCAAAAAGAAAAAAGCCGGAAGTGGTGCTGTGGCTCAATTGGTAGAGCACTAGCCTTAAGCTGAAGAGCTAAGGGACAGCGCCCAGGCCCAGAGTTCAGGTCCCAGAACCGGACCACCCCCCCAAAAAAAAGAATAAAAATTATGTGGCAGGGAACATTAAAACTAAATCTTTAAAGTTGTCTTGTAGATTAATTTTAAAATAAAGTTTATGAGCTTAAAGTACTAGTAAGAAAAGTCATAGTTGTTAAAAACTGACATGCAACATTTATGAAAATGGGTATTACATAGTGAACTGTAATACTAGATATGAATGGTGATAATGATACAGAAATATCAAAATGCAGTGCTTTTAAGGAGGTGTATCCTTTACTATTTTTCATTGAATTTTTCAAAAAAAAATATAGCCCAGACTTGCCTTGAATTTGCAGTCCTCCTGTTTCAGCTTCCCAAGTGCTAGATTTTAGTTGATATCTTTTAAAAAATTTTTTTTGCTGTTCTTGTGATTGTACTCTATGCTTAGCATTTGTTTTTATTATTTGATATTGGGTATTCTTAATAAATTGAAGGGTTATCTTCCATTTTTTATCTCTGAAAATGATACAAATCAACAATCCATTTTCAGCAATATTTTTCATTTTCCTTAACCATTTTTATTAAATTACATTAACTGTTTGTTCTTCCTTTCTATGAATTAAGCCACCTCAGTAACCCTAAGCAAAGTGCCTGCATAGTTATCAGCAGGACTTTCACTGTTACATATTCCTCTATGAGGGAAATCTTGAATTAACTATCAAAAGAAAGTTGTGCAGTAGTTCTTGGAGTTCTTTATGCCAACTTGTAACTCTTATGCACTGTTTCAAGTAAGTTAGCAAGTCTTTTACCCAATCGCCTTTTTCCTCTTGCATTTATTCTTTTTTTTTTTTTTGAGGGATCTCTTTGAACTCTGAGTATTGTATCTTTATATACATTGACCATTTCAGAACCTTTCTCCCATAACATCCATAGCAGTCAACCAGAACTATCTGTCTATAGGTCACACTAGAATAGTATAAACAAAGCCTCCTGGGTATTTCAAACTGCCTGACAGTGACTCTTCTCCTCTTTGTTCTGTGACAAAGATAGTAGCCTCAAAGAATATCACATAAAATACAGATATAGAGTCCACATTTGATTATCGAAGGTTATTTCATACTTTTTTACTGAACATAAAAACTATTCTATACACAAATATTGTAGTCTTATTCCTGATTTTAAATTTCTCTACCTAGGTGGTATTAAGCCATTAATTTTTGTTTGAAGTACTATGGTCCAAAAGAAAAAGAAACAAGATATGTATTTTGACAGTAAAAAAATTTGTAACTATAAAGTTGTTTTCTTTATTTTTGTTATTGTTGTTTTTGTACCAGTCCTGGGTTTGAATTCAGGGTCTAAACGTTGTTCGTGAGCTTTTTTACTAAAGGCTTGCACTTTACCACTTGGATCATAGTTATACTTCTGGTCTTTTTGATGGTTTATTAGAGATAAGAGTCTCATAGGCTTTCCTGCCTGGTCTGGCTTAGAACCAGGATCCTCAGATCTCAGTCTCCTGAGTAGCTAGGATTATAGTTGTGAGCGACAGGTGTCCCACTAAAGTTCTATTTATTTGTTCATTTGCTTACTTATTTACTTATCTACTTATTGTCTGTTGTGAGGCTTGATCTCTGGGCCTGGGTGCTGTCCCTCAGCTCTTCAGCTCAAGGCTAGTGCTCTACCACTTGAGCCACAGCATCAGTTCCAAAAGCTTTATTTTTAATGCAATACAAAAATCACATATTGAAAATGGAATGTGTAAATGATTTGTTACTAAAAAGCAATTAAGATCTTACAGTATTAACCATTTCTGATCTTTTTATGTTCGATTTAACAACAAATTTAAAAGTTACAACTCTTAAGTAAGCACTACAATTTTTCTACTTTGCCAATATACTTGAGAACATTAATTGGTGCTTTATGTTGATTCTGTAGTGGTATGTGGAACAATTAAAATTATTGCTGCTTTTGTAATGATTTTATAATTATGTAGTCTCATTAAAACTATTTAGCATCTGCTTTAAACCTAAAACTCATTACAGCATCTAACTAACAGAATATTTTACTATTATATATATGAAGATAGAATAATATTTTATAATTGGTATAGAATAGTAGTTTATAATTGGTATTATTTTTCTTCTAGGTGTGATTTCTTACACAGAATATCTTTTTCTTTTATGTATTTTAACAAGTAAGTATACTCATTAAATCTTATTTCTAGATGTACTTTTTATTTTTTTAAATCTTAATCTTGGCAAAGAGATCTTTCTTAGCTTCTCTTACTGTTGAAAAATTACTTTGGAAGTATGTGTACTGTTCTGTAAAATTCATGTCCTAATGCTGTATAAAATGCTAAATTTATCACTATCAGGGTCAACAACATAAATACTTTTATTTATGGTATGGTAATAGGTGTTCATAATAAGATGTTGGATTATCTATCAACCTTTTCAGTTTCAATTTACATGAAACTCCAAAGGTCATGATATACATAATTTGTAAAGTTCCCAGTAAACTCATTTGCATCAGATTTTCTACAAGGCTACTGTGAGAAAATGAGGCTTGACTTCCTAGCTGGTGACTCTGTCAGAATGCCCATCTTCTCACTCTTTGAGTACTTTTGCTCTTCTCTTCCTCTCATATGTAGCAGTTCTTAGAAAGTAGGTGAAGAATTTACTAAAGCTTTCAGTTCAGTTTCTTTGCATTTAATGGAGGAATTGTCTGCCATATTTGTTGTGCTCCAGTCATCTGGCCTTCCCATTTCTTGAATTTCCACCTCAGGGATTTGTTATTTGTGCCTTCAGTTGCCTTACTCAAGATTCTTGTGAGAATAAACATTCAGGTTTCTTGAAAAACATGGAAACTTAGAAATCTTTACTTGAGGGGCTGGAAAGTGGCTCAGTGGTAGAGCACTTGCCTTGAATGCTTGAGGCCCTGGGTTCAATTCCTCAGTACCACATAAGCAGAAACAAAATGCTGGAAGTGGCACTGTGGCTCAAGTGGTAGAGTGCTAGCCATGAGCTGAAGAGCTGAGGGACAGTACCCTGGCCCAGAGTTCAGGCCCCACGACGATCCAAAAAAAAAAAAGAAATCTTTACTTGATCACCCTCTCAAACAGTTCCCTTCCTCATGACTCTAGTCCATTTTCAATGTTTTCTTTTCTTCATAACACAATTTATTTAAACGTGTTAGTGGTTTTGCATAGTGTTATATTGAGTTGTAAGATCTGTGTTAGCAAATGTTACATTTTTTCTCCTTTTGTATCAGCACCAATGAACCCTCTCAGAAAACAGTTGGTGAAGAAAGAAGGAAATGAAGGAATATTACTCTTGGAATTTCCAATGTGGGGAATACATCTAGAACATGTATTCAAACAAGCATCAATAAAATTCTTTCATTAGAAGTAGTTTTAAAATACCTTGTACTTCTATGATTAGAAAATTCACTCTATGCCATTCTTAATGGTGTTATCTTCAGTTTTGTTGTAGGAAGTTTTGTGGAGGAGAAAAGGGAATATGCACACATGTATGTTTCAAAAATTATTTTGTACCGGTGGGCTCACACCTGTAATCTTAGCTACTCAAAGGCTGAGATCTGAGGATCCCAGCTCGAAGCCAACCTGGACAGAAAAGTCCATGAGACTTTTATCACTAATAAACTACTCAGAAAAGGCCAAAAGTAGATCTGTCACTCAGTGGTAGAGCACTAGCCTTGAACAAAAAGAAGCTCAGGGATAGTGCTCAGGCCCTAAGTTCAGGCCCTAGGACTGGCACACACACACACATACACACACACACACACACACAAAATTATCTTGTTTTTATTTCTTTTGTTCTTTTTCTTCTAATTTTTTCTTCTCAAAACACAATGAGAATAAAATATTACTGCTGAGTAGTAAAAATTGTGCATTGGGTGATACCTGTGTTGATAGCATGTAGAAGTCAAATTACAAGTCCAATTGATGAAGTATGCTAATGTGGAATTAGTGTTGGTGTGAGGAAGTATCTCAAGGATGTGAAGGAAAGTCATTCTGTCAGCTACAATAGCTTTCGATGTAAAATTATAAGTTGTGAAGACCTGAACAAGCAGAGTTAATAAAAATAGGAACATTGCTGGTTAGGAAAGCCATTAGTAGAGATGGGAGAGGGAGTAATTGAAGGGTACGTGAAAAAGCAGTTTTGTTTTCTTACTTCAGAAAGGGTAGGATCTTTCAGTGCTGTGAAACTTCCTTTGAGGTTTCCAAGAAAATTCCAGGTAGAGACAGAAAAATCTGTGGTGTTTAGAATAGAATTCAGAAAACCATGTGGGACTACATAATCTGTGATGTCTGTCTGTGTTTTTCCTCTCTACCTTTGATTCCTTTTCTTTTCACTTTATACAATGCTTACAAAAGTCTGTATTTTTTTAAAGAGCTTTTTAAAATCTTAAAAACTTATCATAGTGTAATTTTTCCCCGTCTTGGTGAATGGTAACAAAAATAAGCCTAAATTCCTCAAAACACATTCAAGAAATGAGCTACCATAAGAGTGTGGCTCTGTTTAAGAGACACCATGACTGGTTAACAGAGTGGGGCTATATGCTTCTTTTTTGCCAAGAGGATTTCACATCAGCAAGTGCGTCTGGGGATGGCTAGTGTGGTGTCCCCTGTAAAGCATTTTGCTAGGCATCAAAAAAGAAAAGTCACATCTTCAGATAAAGGTGTATCTACTGAGCTCTTCTTTGAAGGAGGAGGGCATTTTTTTGTTCACGTTTTCTTCTTTATGCTCTGCAAATGAAAAGTGGAAAGAGCAAGCTCATTGTAAGGTTTGGTTCAAAGACTGTCTCAGAAAAGCACTTGTTACTTGCTTTTTTCTAGGCATTGGAAATTACATATTCATTCCACCTTGACATTCCCTTTTAAGCCTCTAGAAGTTTAAACCCCAATCTATGCTCTATTCCTATAGGGCATTTCAGTTGTAATTTTTCTGAAGAATTGAAACTGGCTCATCATGTCATATTTTTATTTTTTTTGCAACTTCAAGTAGTTGCATTTACTGAAAAGCTTTCAAATATAATGATAGTTTCCTTTTTTAACAAGTAAACTTTGGATATTTATTTATTCTGTGTGCCATTCCTGAGGCTTAAACTTAGGGCCTGGGTGCAATCACTGAGCTTTTGTGCTCAAGGATAGGACTCGACCACTTTGAGCGACAGCTTCATTTCCAGCTTTCTGGTAGTTAATTGGAGATAAAGAATCTCATGGACTTTCCTGCCCCAGCTGGCTTTAAAATGTGATCCTTAGAGCTCAGCCTCCTGAACAGCTAAGATTACAGATAAGGGCTAGCTGGATATTTACTTTTAGAGAAAAAGCAATCAAGTGTCTCTTTTAATACGCTGCAATAAGTATCACATAAGTTCTTTAAATGTATCTTGTCAGTTCTGTTATTAAGTCTATTAACATATGAAGCAGACATAGGTGTACTCCTACACAGCTTTCATTACACTTAATTAATAGTAATATACTACTTTTAATTTCTTGGTTTAAAAGAATTTCTATGTGGAGTCCATACTGCTTGCCAAAGTGGTTGAACAAATTTATACTCCCACCAGCAATACGGTAGGGTTCCCTTCTGGCCACATTCCCTCCAGCGTCTGTTATTAGAGTTCTTGATTATAGCCATTCTAATTGGGGTGAGATGGAATCTCAATGTTGTTTTGATTTGCATTTCTTTTACCGCTAAAGAAGTTGAGCATGTCTTCATGTGTCAAGTGGCCGTTCTTATTTCCTCTTCAGAGAAGTTTTTCTTTAAGTCTTTAGCCCACTTATTTATTTATTTATTTATTTTTAAAGCATCATTTCTTCATTTTTTATTTTTTATTGTGAAAATACTGTACAGAGGGATTACTATTACATAGCCCACTTATTTATTAGGCAGTTGTTTCTTTGCATAGAGCTCCCCTTTGACCCAGCAATTCCACTTTTAGGCATTTACCCAAACAATCACAAACAAGGCCATACCAAAGCACAACTATGTTTATCGCAGCATTATTTACCATAGCTAAGATGGAACCAACCTAGATGCCACTCAGTAGATGAATGGATCAAGAAGATGTGGTGTGTATATACAATGGAATTCTATGTCTCCATCAGAAAGAATGACATTGCTTCATTTGTTAGGAAATGGAAAGACTTGGAAAAAATTACATTAAGTGAAGTAAGCCAGGCCCAAAGAAGTATAGGTCCCATGGTTTCCCTTATTTGCAATAATTAGTACATGTGTAGGACAAGCAGAAAAGGCCAAAAACTATGTACATATGACCATATAAGATTATGTTAAGCAGGGGCTGGGAAGATGGCTCAGTGGTAGAGCGCTTGCCTTGCATGCCTGAGGCCCTGGGTTCTATTCCTCAGCACCACATAAGCAAAAAGAAAAAAAAGCCGGAAGTGGCGCTGTGGCTCAAGTGGTAGAGCGCTAGCCTTGAGCTGAAGAGCTGAGGGACAGCGCCCAGGCCCAGAGTTCAGGCCCCACAACCGGACCCAAAAAAAAAAAAGATTATGTTAAGCAAAATGAACCCTAAGATAGGGACACAAATATCTTTTTTTCTTTCTTGCTATTGTTTCTAACATTTATAATTACCATGTGATTTTTTTTGTTGCTTTGTATGTTTCTCCCCCACAATATTACCCCTGTTTTCACTGTATTTGATGTCGGTGCTCTGCATCTTGTATATACAATTCTCTAACTGGGAAGGTAAGGGAAAAAAACAAAATGCTTAAAAAAGGATACAGGTTGACCCATTGTAACAATGAGATGTACATGACACTATGTTGAAAACGAACTTTACAACTTCGGTGTGGGGGGGAGGGTAGTTGTAGAGGTGAGAGGGAAGGAATGGTGGGGGAAAACAAAGGAGGAGGCAATCATGCTCAATAGGAAATATACTCATTACCTTGCTCATGTAACTGTAACTCCTCTGTACAACATTTTTACAACAAAAACGTACAAAAAAGTGTATCTATATAGCATATGTATAACTTTACAACTAATAGAGATTTTGTGATTGAATATTTTTTTCTTTTTTGATGGCAGAGCCACATGCAGGTTTTAGGATAGCTTTCAACATGTTTGACACTGATGGCAATGAGATGGTGGACAAGAAGGAGTTTTTAGTGGTATGTATATTATAAGCATTTTCTCAATCATTAAGTATTACCTTATATTTTTATGCTTTTGAATTATTTGGAGTACTACTGTTGAGAGAAAGTAAAAAAATTAGATTTTTATCTTAATTTAATAAGCAAGCATATCTTTAGAATAATATTTAGATTGTGAAGGTATGAATTATTATATTCTACTTGGAAGTTTGAATGTGTCAGGTATGTTTTACTGGATGGATAAAGGAGATTCTAATTTCCCAGTTAATATTCGCTCTCAATCGTATCAGCTACCTCTTGCCATAGCTCTTTGCCACAGGCTCTTTCTTATCATAGTAAGTCTCATGTCTTCCTCTTTCCTTTTTTCTTCCGTTGTCTTAGTGACTAACAGCTGACAGCTTTTAGGTGTTTATCCCTTGATATTTCTGATCTTACTGGTGGTGCAGCATCGGTCCTGGTCTGACAATGTCACGTCTTCAGTTGTGCTCACTTGTACTACCTCTCAGAATTTTTCTTTCTTCTTACTTGTATTTTCCTCTTTATTTTATTTTATTTTGTTGTAAAGATGATGTACAGAGGGGTTACAGTTACATAAATAAGGTAATAAGTATGTTTCTTTCCATACAGTGTTACCCCTCCCTCATTTTTTCCTCCCTCACTGCTTCCCCTCCCCCCCAAAGTTGTAAAGTTCATTTCCAACACAGTGTCTAGTGAGAATTGCTTTTACATTGGTTTATCCTTTCTACCACCATTTCTGTGATCTCTGTTTTTGTATTGATTCTGCTTTTGTTCTTAAATAAAAATGAATGTCAATTTATTCTTTAGATTATTTATTCCACTTTAATATTACAAAAACTTGCTTTTCTTTAAAGTTGTAATTGGTCTTTTTAGTTGCCTCATGTTTGATATATGATTCTTTGCTTGCAAAGAACTCCTAAGAGCAGGAGACAAAGTTGGACTAAGTTATTTAAAGTCTAAAATTTTATCAAGCAATATTTTTTATTTTCAACAATTATCAAAGGTGAAATAAAACTGAGATTGTTGTTCAGATTATGCAGACAAGAACAATGAACTCTGATGAAAGAAATAGGATTCCACTTCTTTAAGTTACAGAATTTTAAAGATGAAATAATACCATTTATAATAATATTAGTTAACATTTACTGAGAAGCTTCTATGGAATAATTAGTAAGTAATCAATTACTTGTAACATTTATTTGAAACAAAATTCTATAAGGTAAGGAATTTTCTCTGTGTTACAGATATGGAAAACAAGCCTTAGATATTTAAAGTAACTTTCCCAAGAAATTCTGCCTAGAGAGCCTATTCTCAGTCACCTGAAAGACATTACAGAGGCTAGTCACGATGTTACCTACTGTTTTCACATAAGAGCATACTGGAGCTCCATGAATGTTGAGTGCTCTAAATAATAAAATTAATATGTGTCAGAAGCTAGACTCCAACCCAGAGTTGTTGAGTACTATTCCAATATCCTTTATATCCTAGTAGGCTTCATTTTTTTTTTCTGTGTATATTTCAGACTGCATATCTCTTTGTCTGGGTGAGAAAATATAACTAACATTAAGCACATTTAACTTAACAGTGTTTTTCAGTACCAAATAATGTAATTTTCTTTACATAGGAAAATATTAAAATCATATATAAAGCAGAGTAGTTTAAAAGAACTTGGCTAATGAACTTATTTTCATTGTTTCTTAGGGTCTACTTAGCACAGAGTAGTAAGTAGATGCCTCAAAACCTTTGATGAATTTTGATTCTTAATTTTTTTCTTTCAGCTTCAAGAGATATTCAGGAAAAAAAATGAAAAGAGAGAAACTAAAGGAGATGAAGAAAAACGTGCTATGCTGGTAAGACATACTTTACAGTAATTTCTAGTGATTTTTCAGGTGAAAGTTTACTCATGTTGAAAACCAGAAAACTAATACTTTGGAGCCTGTTTCTTTCTTGAAAACTTTCTTATGCACTTAGGTAGAAAAATTGCTTCAGTATTTATATACATCAATATCAATATTTGCTTCAAATATTGATATTAAGCATCTGTACCCATAGTCATGGTAATTAAATCATTTTTCATCTGTATTGTTGTTATCTGTGAGATTTGAAGGGTATATTATATAGTGGATTAATACAGATCATTATGCATGTAAAAATTTAAAGGTGAATTGCAAAGATTTAATTATAATGTGAATGAATTTAATGATAAGAAAACAATATGAATGTTGAAGCAAATAAAAAGGAAAATATGTTTTCTTTTTTTTTTTTTTGGGTTCGGTTGTGGGCCTTAACTCTGGGCCTGGGCGCTGTCACTCAGCTCTTCAGCTCAAGGCTAGCGCTCTACCACTTGAGCCACAGTGCCACTTCTGGCTTTTTTCTTTTTGCTTATGTGGTGCTGAGGAATCGAACCCAGGGCCTCATGCATGCAAGGCAAGCACTCTACCACTGAGCCACCTTCCCAGCCCGGAAAATAAGTTTTCTATTACTAGAAACAATTACTATAAATTATTTTTATATTATGCATATTATTGTCTATCCTAAAGTTAGAATTAAAGGACATTTCCTTCAATCTTCCTAACAGGTTTCTGTTTATCACAAATATCCTATATATAGGTCAGTTCACTTAGTACAAATAACAAGCAGGTTTAGAGACCTGATTATCAGGCATATGCTAAGTACTTTGCATGCATTTACTTCATTTAATCCAACTATTCTCTTATTGTCCATAATGAAATATGAAAAACTGATCATTTAAAAAGCTATTTTCACTGGGAGAGAGCGAGGGAAGGGGTGACATTGCCCAAAAAGAAATTTACTCTTTACTTAGGTAATAACTGTAACCCCACTGTACATCACCTTTATTATATAGGTATTAAACAAGATTTGAATTTATAAATAGTTCCAAAACCTGTACTTTAGCCATTGTGCATATTTCTTCACTACTACTTAGACATTAGAAATAGTGAATTTTATTGGTATGCAAATGTTAATTGATTAATTTGCAATAAATGGTTCTGTGCAGTAACTTTACTAGTCTACATTAAGTTAAAATTATTATCTATTTCTATTACTATATATATTTCTTAGTTCTATGTATTAGCTTTTTTAATACCTTGAATTGCTATAGCAGATGGGTATCATATTCAATCCCAATATATTTAAACACATATTACTTCATAGGTATTGGCTGTGGCATAATTATCAATAGTTGATAAACCTTCAATAATATACTATTGAAAAATGTTGAAGACAGTCTTTAAAAATTAAATAGCTAATTATAATGTTAGTAAAGCAGTAAAAGGGATATTAGTAGTAACCTAAATCAGGTCTCTCAAATAATAATTAATAAATCCTATAGCAATAACCCCATCAATATAAGTGTATTAAAGAAGATTAAATTAATTAAATTTTATTTCTTATGTATAATATACTGAAAGAATAAAGTTATTCTAATTTTGGTAGATTATTTTTTTACCAATAATACTATAGGCAAGTTGTTAGTAAAATATTTAAGGAGTTTGAATTATGATAGTAAATCTGTTAGTAACAAACTAGTATTTCAATGGACAGGAATTTAATTGTTTTATTTGTAGTATTTCAGAGAGGATTTGTGGATCTTCAAATAAAAATATAATATGATTTTCATCACTAACATTTATTATTTAAATATGTATACCTGGTAACAAAAGTGGAAAGAGAAAAGCACTAATACACAATAAGAAAATATTAGTGCAAAGCTTGGTTCTGAGCTGCACTGAAATCAAGAGAATTTAACATAAATATTTTATAATAGTGATCTAAAATAAAATCTTAACTTGGATTAGTTAGGGCACTAACTAATCTGTTGGAATTATGAATTGTATATACCAGCTTGCCCTGGGTTATATTGTTTTATATATATATGTTTTATATATATAGTTGAATGAAGCCTGCCCTAGTAAATATATCAGGATGAAGACTTAGTTAAAGAACAGATAAAACTAACACGTAAGTAAAATAAGCACTAAAGTAAGGACTGCAGTAAGCACTAAAGACATTGGTCTTTTCAGAAGTGTTTGTCTTATATAATTTAAATAATACTCTTAAAATCTCATTTATATAATTTAACTACCAGAATCATTTTTAAAACAATTTAGATATAGTAGTTAGTTTAGCCTCTGATTAACATCATTATTTGGTAATATAGCTCTCTATAAATACTCATTACTATGCTTCATATCTGTGATGATAATTGTAACTTAATTTCAATAATGCTAATCTGAACTGACTTTTTGAGTACTAGGGATTGAATTTAAGGCCTCTTGCTAGGACATTACCCTACTACTGTAACCATGCTCCCATGCTTAGTTCAAATAGTGTCTCACACTTTTTCTCGGGCCAGCCTCAGAATATGATCTTCCTACCTCTACCTCCCAAACAGCTGGGATTATAGACATGTACCACCATGCCCAATATATGATTTTCTTTTAGTTACTTTGTAGAGGATCCTGTTGAATGCAGTGTTGTGTTTGTCAAGGTGATAGAAATGAAAATACAATTCCAAACCTTCTTTTCTTTCTTCTTTTTTTTCTGTACTGGGGATTGAGTATCTGGCCTTGTGCTTGCTAGGCAAGCACTCCACTGCCTTAGCTATGCCCCAGTCCTTTTGCTTTTGAGGCTTATGCTTTTGTCCACATTGGCCGTGGACTGTGATTCTCCTACCTCTGACTCCCAAATAACTGGGACTACAGGCATGCACCAACACTCCTGACCTTGTATATATTATTAAAACATTTTTCTTGATTTTTAAAAGTCTGAAACTTAGCTTTTTTAAAATATGGTTTGCATCAAAGAGACATTGTAACCAGAGACTTAAAATCCAGAATGAATATATATATATATTAGTATTACCTCTGCTTCTGCCACTCATTGCTTGTGTGATCTTGAACAAGATTCTTTACCTCTTTACCTCTGTTATTTTTATAGTTGGGGATAATAGAAATAATGACCACATAGATTTTTTTTTAATTTTTATTTTTTTATTGTGAAAATACTGTACAGAGGGGTTACAATTATATGGGCAAGATAGTGAGTACATTTCTTATCAAGCAATGTAGCCTCCTCCTTTGTTTTTTATAGGGATTAAATGAATTAAAATATATCGCTATTAAACAGTATATGAAACATATAAGCTCCTAAGAGTAGCTAATGAAAGACTGCATAGAACCACATAACTAGTTACTTTAAACTGAAATTTAACATACCCAAATAAAATTAAACCCAAACTAAATTTTAAAATCTTTTTATATTAAAATGAAACTGCTGCAGAGGGAATGAAATGAATACACCCTTCGGTAAGACACTGACATGCTAAACTCTGTGCTATATCCATAATAATTGTTATTCCCATTTAGTCCTCGTTATAGTTTTCACAGGTAAGTTCTGTACCTGTTTTATGGAAGAGAAACCATCTTGAGTTAATTAATTTGTTTAGTGTCATAGCATTGATAGAAGCAGAGCAGGATTCCAGAGCAGATCTCTCATACCATTTCCACTTTCATGCTGCTACATCTAGAGTTTCCCCATTCCATGTAAAATTTCTGAAACTTGTCTAAATAAAAGTGCATATGTAAAAGGAACATGTTTTACTCAGTGCAATAGTGCTTCTAGGTTACAATGAAGATGTTTGAAATGAGCACAAGCTCATTTATCATTTAATTACATTAGTCTTAAAACCTTTGCTACTCATCTTTAACATTTACCCCACTTGTATCATGTGCGTGCTCTATATATAGAATGTAGCATAATGATTTGCCCTTCCTAATTGATTATTTTGTCGCCTTTTTCTTTTTTCTTTTGCTATACTTGGGTTCATTCTGAAATGTGACACTTCATTTGGCCCTTTGTGCTCTATGTCAGCGTCTTCAACTTTATGGATACCATTCTCCTACTAATAGTGTATGTACAATACTTTAAATGTTCCTTATGTATATAGTCTTCACCTGTTATACTTGAAAATGCTATTACTTTATATCTATTATCACTAGAATGTTTTGGAATTATTGAATAAATAAGCTACAATCAAGTCAAATTTCTACATTTCTTTCCTAGATTTATGAGAAGATAAAAATATACAGAGCAATTATGTATCTTTATTAATTGCTTATTTTTAGATTAAAATAAAGGAAAGATGAGTGGACAACCACCACCACGAGCTCTGGTAGAGTAATTGAAATTTTATATTTTTCAGTACTATATGAAGAATTATTTGTAAATAATAGAACAAATGGTCTATGCTTTTGCAGAACACAGGTATTTTTAAAACTAAATATATCCATCTGATATATAATCTTTGATCATTCCTAATATGATATATTAATGGATAGACATTTTTAGTTTTCAGTGTTTCTCACTTTTTTTCCTAAAAGTTTTGTTGCATACATCTTTTTTGTTCTGGTCTATAAAAATATGATATCTGATGCTACTTGATATATTTAATATATTAGTATATTATGTTATATTCCAAAGAATGTTGTGAGTTTTTTAGACTTTTCTCTTGAAAACTTGGGAATCCTTATGAATGAGCTCCCAAATGTATTTTTATGCCAAGTTACCAGCTTTCTTTTTTCTTGAGCAAGTTAGAGTTTACTAGTTAACCCAGCTAGTAACTAACCTACTAAGCACAAGCTGTGGACCTTTTTTACTGTAAACCTGCACAGTTTATTTCATTTCCCCAGTAACCCTTCAGCCATTTAAAAAGATCTCTCAAATTGGAAATTCTGAGAAGCCCTTGAGTTCAAGATAACTGTGTCAGTATTATGCTCATTAAAGAGTTGTAGCTGTCATTCACAACTCTAAAAGCAACTGTAAAAACTAACTTTTGTTTAGATTTAAACATACAATGGAGGAAACTTAATCATAAAGTAAACAAGGTAGTTTTCATAGTCACTAGGAATGTACCTAGAACGAATGAGAAACAAGCTTAGGGGAATAATGTGACTAGTGTTTTAATCCTTATAAGAAACTATAATGTTTTCTACTACTTTGCTGTTGTTTTCCATTAAATAAAGTCTATGTTTTTTAAAAAAAATTAAAGGTTGTCTCTGATAATAATATCATATATAAAATGAAAATTTCAAAAATTATAATTCCATAGACCCTATGAAATGTATTAATACTTATTTTATGATTTATTTTTCAAATCTACCATCATTGTATGAGACTTTTTCTGTGAAAGCTTTAATTGTTCTTTTAACCTCATAAGTAATTTACATGTAGGATGAGTTCTATTAATTATTAGTAGTAGTTAACTGAATTTCAGAATATAGTTAAAAGGAAATGATCCTAGTGTACCTTATCTAAACTGTATATAAAATTGCAATCACTCAGACATGGAGAAGAGTATTAAAATGACTCAAATTGCATGTTTTGTTTATATCATGCTCATTTATTTAATAAGAAAATATTTTTTATTTTTAATTATTTTACCAAAGATGGCTTCCATATGCAAAATGAATATATTAAAGGTAGATAATGATGTTATTTTATTCAGTCTTAATGGATTACATTTTTTTTTCAACTCCCTTGGGAGTTCCTGGCTGGCTTTATAACCTTTTTTCCTATTTTAGAATAATTTTTGCTCACAAAGAAATGTTATTTTCAAAACCTGTAAGATAACAGGAAAATTAATTTAGGATTAGAAAAATTCAGTCTGAAAATGTATTCAAAATACCATGGATGAAAGTATTGCATAGATATATTAGTGTAATTTTATAATTCCACTGAAAATTGTTTTCTAGTTTCTAGAATTGTAAATCAACTCAAGTGATAATCTAATCTGAGTGTTGATCATGGAGCTGCATATTAGAGATTTATAAGAACCAGTTTTACCTTTAATAGAAAGCTTCTTCAGGAAAAGCAGTGGTCACCTTGTCTTATAGACCACTCTCTGGCCCCTGTAGTCTATTTAATAACACTTAAAATAGACTCTGCCAATTTGTTTCCTGCTACAGAGAAAATTCGGAACTATTCCCTTGTATCTATGAACAATTTTGGTTGTTGTTTTATTTTTAACCTTATCTAGCTTTTTTGTTCCAAATAACTCAGATCCTTTTCATTTTTCTCATACCATCATGCTCTCAATTAGCTTCCTAAAGTGATGAAAATAAATATAAGAATATAAAAGAATAAATCATTTTAAAACTCAAGTATGCCTACTTTAGCCTTCCTCTTGGGGTATTTTTAAAGATCATTCTAAATTACCTTAATTACATTGCTACTAGAAAATACATCTACATTTATACCATTTCTTTAACATGTTTTGAGAAGTGTTTTAAGGCTAGAATAATGCCAGTATTTATAAGCAGTCTTTATTTTAAGAGAATATATTCTTTGATTTATAGTAGTGCCGTGATATATATATATATATGCATATATATGCATATATTTTACCATGCTTGTTAGTTATATGTTTTAAATCTGTCATTCCTGGTATCTTTGTCTGCTTGATCCATCAATTAGTATATTAAATTACATAGTACAATGGTTGACTTATTTTTACTAATAATCTTCTTAATTTTTGTTTTGAAGAATTACTCTTACCTATGTTAGAATATAGATGAGTTCTATCTTTTAATGAATTGACTTTTCTGTGCTGTACTATACTGGAGTGTATTTTTGCCTGAAAATCTGTTTCAGTTATCAAAATATACCTTTATACATACATACATACACATATATTTTGGTGGTACTAGGGTTTACAACTCAGAGCCTTGTGCTTTCTGGGCAGGTGCATTACAATCACCACACGTCACTTTCCATTGGTTGAACTGGGGTTTCACCAATATTTTACACTGGCTGTCTGCCCAACTCCAGCCCTATTTTTTGCTTGTTATTTTGGATATGAAGTTTATGGGCTTTTCTGCCCAAGCTGGATATGAACTAGTCTTCTGAATCTCCTCCTGAATAGCTAGGATTAATGGGCATGAGCCACTAGTGCCTATCTTAGTTTATTGATTTTTATTCCTATAAGCAGTGGTTTTCAAAGACTTGGTTCTTGTGACTACTTCACATTGTTCAAAAGAGATTTTGTTTCTGTAGATTATATCTACCTATATTTATCATATTCAACAGTTAAAATTAGAATTTGAAAATTTGTATTAGTTTATTTTAAAATATCAATGAAGCTGGGTGCTGGTGTCTTATGCTTGTAATATTAGCTACTCAGATGGCTGAGATCTGAAAATCCCAGTTCAAAGCCTAACAGCAAGAAAGTCCTTGAGACTCTTAGTTCTGATTAACCACCAAAAAGCTGCAAGTGGAATTGGAATAAAGTGCTGGCCTTGAGTTCAAGCCCCAGGACTTTTGTACACACACACACACACCAATTAAAATCTTACTTTTACACCATCAGTGCAAATGTCAACAGGGTCAAGGCAAATAAAATCTTTAAGAGGTTTAAAGATCTTAACTGTTTTAAATTTTATTCAGCTTTTTCATTTTGTCTAAGAAAGTTGTACATGTCTGTCTTTTATAGCCTGTAATACCCTTTTCAGGTACACTTACAGATTTGAAACTTTTTTTTCTTTTTTATTATCCCTTCCCATCTTCCCCCCCCCCCCCCCCCACCCAATCCTCCCCTGCCATAGATTTGAAACTTTTAAGTAGCATATTTTGTGAATTGTACTGGTTTCTTTTATTCTAGATTTAAATCCATGATTTTTAATTGGAGAATGTATTTACTGACATTATTGTGATTACTTTCTGATTTGAATTTTTCCAACTTTATTCTTTATACTATTTTTGTTCTGCCTTCTTTCAGAGTCACTGAAAATAATTGTCTTTTCTATTCTTTATGTTAGTATTCTTAACATTTTAATAAATATACTTAAAAGAATAAAAATCATAGGTTAGGCAATATCTATACATTGCCACATCGTACTTTAAAACACTTTAATATCTTTGATTTAATTGCTTTCATGGACACTGGAAATTTTTGTATTGTGTTTACCTCATGTTTTTCTAACATCACCAATTAGATTTTTAAAATATATACCATCAATGTTTATTAATATCACATACATATGTTATTAACTCATTAATTTCTTCTTTAATCTCACCTTTCTTTTATGTTTTTTTTTGGTGGGTGGTAGGTCTTGAACTCTGGGTCTGGGCACTGTCCCTCAGCTTTTCAGCTCAAGGCTAGAGCTCTACCATTGAGCCACAGTACCACTTCCAGTTTTATCTCTTTTAATGAAAATATACACTTAGCGTATGCATCTGATAAACAGTCCTGAAACTCAGAGCACGAATACTGATAAGCCATCAGGATGTCCTTGCAAATTGCCCATCCTAATTACTTGTTTCATATCCAAAAGCGTTATCAGTTATGTTTAGGCATTTCTCTTCTGACTTCTCTTAGCTTATATACAGATACTTAGCTTTTTAAACTGAATGTTATCCTGAAAAATACACATTACAATTAACTGGGAAAGCAATAAAAAGAACTTATCCTAACCATTCAGAGGTAATCAATCTATTTCCATATATTTGCTTCCTTCCTATGATTATAAAACACAGTTTATTAAACCAACTTTATCTCATCATATGTTGTAAATATTTTTATAATGTTAGGAAGAGGTAACCATTGTTTGACAGTAGGTGAAAGACACAGATTCACCAAAGGAAACATTCCTATTATTCTAACAACAGTATATTGTAAGCTTTATTTTTTAGTTTGTAGTTTTGACAATACTTTTCAAAGTCATCTTTTCAAATACAACTTAAAATGAATCTGTGTCCAAAATATGAATAAATTTGAGATTAAGAAGCTAATCTAGCATCTAGACCTACCTTATATTGCTTAGGTAAAGCTTATTTAAAGTTGGAGTGATGAATAAGTTCCCTGTCAGCACTACATTGATACTTACAGTGCTACTTACTTCTGTTTTCTATGTGAGGTTTCTGCTAAATTTTTTATTGTTAACATTTATTAAACTTTGAGCAATGGGCAGTGTTTTCTAGACAATAATATAATTAACTCTTTTTTGTGATAACTCTTAGCTATGCAATAACTGTATTAATGGCACTAGATATGCGTTTGTTTGTTTACTCAATCAAGGTCTTGCTATATTGTCAAGCTTTGAATTTTGGATTTAAGCAGTTTTCTGTTATTCTCCAAAGTAACTGGTAATACAGGTACATGCCACTGTACCTCACTGATACTCAACTCTTAAAAATTAGGATGAAAAGGAGTAAAGAGAGAAAAGCTCTCATGACAGTGACTACTTTTGGCTATATTTGTTCATACCTTGAAATTAGGCTTAGAGTTAAAGATTTTCACAGGAAGATTAGATTATCATAATTTTGACATCTTCAGACTAGTCAATACTGAGAATAAAAATGTATATTCTACAAAATTAAGAAATTTGAGAGGAGGGGGAGGGTTGGAGTGGTGGGGAAGAATGATAAAGATGCATTATATTAATAAACTAATTTGTTGAATGATAATTTCTTGGCACGGCTACTTAAAAATAATAAAATAAATGTTTTAAATGCTAGTGTTCATAAAGACTTGACAGAAGGCACATTTACCAAATTCCTTTTCCATAGGCTTTGAATTAATTTATGATGTGTATCACTAAAGTCTGGATAAGCTTGCTTTGATTTTAGCGCACTAACAAGATAGATGATAGCAGAAATAACTAAAGTATGATTTTAATTGGTTTACAAAATCTTCAACATACGGATTTACTTCACACAAAGTGTGAATAGAATTTCTATTTCAAACTTTCTAAGAAGCTATATACATCTCAGTAGAAGGGGAGGGAGGGATGGGAGAATTTGATTCCACCTGACAAAGCCACATTGTACTTAGCAATAGTGGTTCTATACCATTACACCCTTGAAAGCACCCACGGTTCCCGTAGTGTAATAGAATACTGTTGTATGCCGCAGAAGACAAAAGAGGTAAGCTAATGTGTTTTCTTTTCTTTTAAGGTTTGTTAGAAGAGGTTTAAAGTGTATAAATTGTCATTCTTTGTGACTATTCTTTAGATTTCAGTTGTTCTTCCTAACACTTCCACAGGTACTTAAAACAGATGCTGAGGAACTTGTCTCCAGAAGCTATTGGGACACACTGAGACGTAACACAAGCCAAGCACTCTTTTCAGACCTCGCAGAGGTACAATTAAACCTCAACAAAGGTTCTTGTATCATTTGCCATTTTGCTAATCCAGTCCTTGTTTTCAGAGTCACCAGATAAAACCAAAACTTTATTGTTTTCTATATTCTTCAGTAAAGTCATAATTATTATAAACTAAAAATTGCTATATGGTATATATAAATATATACATATGATTTATATAGTATATTTGAATATGTGAGCTCTGCTGATGGGGCTACAAGGCTATGTACAATAACCTGAGTTAAATGAGTTTACTTACTGTGTAAGACACAGCTGCTAATCTAATTAAAAGGAAATAACATTAAGTTTTACTTAAGGAGCACTTCCTAGAAATTTAGGAATAACAATATAGCCTTAGAGTTTCACTCAATATTTTAACCCTTCAATTTATAATGGTATATGAAATGCTAAAATATTTTCATCTAGTAAAAGATAATTGAATGTTAGGCTAGATTAAACAACTAAATTTTCCTACATTAATAGTGAGTGGTTTGCCAAGAACCAGGGGTATGGAAGAAGAGTATTTCACCTTGACGTCATTTAGATTGCTAGTGTCTGGTAAAATAAAAGCAGGATGGCACTATTGTCTTGATTTAGAGCTAATGTACCTCCTTGTTGTATTCAGTAAACTGCCTCTGTCATCCCATTCCTGTTATATCACTGTCAGTATTGATTAGAAAATTACATTTATTTAGAAAAGTTTACCTTATCTAAAATTGCACATGGAAAAAGAGAAGTAAACTGCAATGAGTTTTTTACTTCTTTCCTTCTGATTTTCCTTTTCTTTATATTTTTTGAGATGAGGACTTGCTCTGTTGTGCCGAGCTCAGGTGATCTTCACACCTTAGCCTACCAAGTAGCTGGGACTATAGATGTGTATTCCTGTGCTTAGCTTGGTTGTAACTTTACCTAGTTATACAAAATTACTCACTTGGCATCCCTAGTCTAGGCGAATACTTAAAAACTGTTAGTTTTGTTGCTCATGCTCAATTTTAGTGTCCAAACCAAATAGGTAATGCATTTTGCCTATTTTTAGTCTCTCTGTGATGAATAAATATGATATAATCATGACCAGCTATATTACCTTTTAAAATCAACTGTTAGCTTTGAACAAGGAAAGAAGTGACAAATGTTCCATTCAAATATCTTAGAAATGCTTATTTTGTAATCAGTTATTTAGGCACACAGTAGTCTGTACATAAAAATAATAGTAATTAGAAACAGTATTCCTGCTAATGTCTACAGCCAGATATGGCCTAGTTTCAAATTAACACATGGGTCACATGGTATATCTTTGTGCTAATAGAAAGTGAAGAAAACAAAAGAAAAAGAAAAAAATACTTTTATTTTATTTCCACATAAAGTAATTGTTTGGGGATTATACTATTACAACTCTTCTGCATTAGAGAATAGTAATGATAATTAACTATAATTAAGTTAGAACTGTAATCCTTTATAAGTTCCTATGGATACTATTATAACAAACTTTAGTATAGTATACTATATATAGTATATTATAGTATTAGTATACTATAGTACAGTATATTATAGTATTAGTATTTCAGGATTCAAATTGGCTTAGAAAACTTTGAAATGTATTTGTATTTCTTTGTTGTATATCTAATATTTAATTATTAAGGTAAAGTAGTTCTCTTTCATTATTACAGGTAACTTGTTTATCAGCCTCTCATTTTCTTATCCCAGAGAAGTTTCTAACTATAAATATTTTCAATTTAGTAAAATATTTTTGCACTTAGTTTAAAATGATATAATACAAATTTGCAAATATCAGAGCTATTACCATTCACTAACCAAAAGTATATGATAAATTCAGAATATAAGTTCAGTTGAGTATAGTTGATCAGTACCAGAATTATAAATAGTACTTTGAACATCACAATGCATTTTTTACATTTGCTTTAAATTCTACTTATCCTTAATAGTTTTTGATAGGTTATTGAAAAACTTTCATTGTATCATGAATTTAAAGATTTTCTTCATCACTTATATAGAGCTTAAAATTGTTTTAAAATTACAATCAGTGAAAATATGTTGAAAAGCTCCCATAAAATTTTTTCTATATAATGAAGAATTTGTATGCAACTTTACTTCATTTTTTATAATGAAACCATTTAAAGTAGATATTGATTGATTGATTCATTAATTTATTTTTATTTTTTTGTGGGTTATGGGGCTTGAACTCTGGACCTGGGTGCTGTCCCTCAGCTCTTCAGCTCAAGGCTAGCACTCTACCACTTGAGCTACAGCACCACTTCCAGTTTTCTGGTGGCTTACTGGAGATAAGCATTTCACGGACTTTCCTGTCTGGGCTGGCTTTGAACCACAATCCTCAGATCTCAGCCTCTTGAGTAGCTAGGATTATAAGCATGAGCCACCGGCACCCAGCTACTTGTTTATTTTTGATGCTGTGGATTGAACCCCAGGTCTGATGCATGTTAAACACCAGGCTACTGTCTCACCACTAAGCTCCCTGCCTCCAGCCTAAAGTAATTCTTAATCAAAACAAAATTAGATAATAGACTTTTCTGTAAATGGTCCATGTGTTCTTTTGTGGCTTTTCTTGCTTTGTTATGAAAACACCTGAATTTATTTTATTTTAACAATGAGCATAGAATCAGAGGGATAAAGTCTCTATTTTTGTCTCAAACTTCTTGTGATGTAAGTTACATAACACGGTTAGGGTACCTAGGACATTGGTATTGCTTTCAGTGACTCTAAGCAGTACTGAGTTTCACTGAGTGGGAGGGGATTCCCCATTTCCATTTTTAAATTTTTTTTCTCCAGTGTCAAACTGTTACTTCTGCTTCTGTGGCTCTGGATTATCTGGGTAGGTGCAACCTGAATCTAATAAGATTTAACACTGAGACTTGTAAGTAAAGATCTGCTCTGCTCAGTGAGCATAAGAAGATCTGGCCTGCTGAGGTCATTATTAAAAACCTGTTTGCAACAAAGGCATCTCAGTTATAGTACACTATGTCTTGAGACATGATGACATCACAACACTGAAGAAAGATATTCCTAAATTATATCATTTTGGAGTTTTCTAACATGTGGTGATCTGGGAGCTTCTCATTTTAAGACTCTTTTTGAAAGTTATACAGCATTTATTTTCAATAATAAGACAAGTATAGCATCTAAAAATCTTTTCCATGACATTTTAATATTGCCATCATCTTTGTCATGTCCAGTCTTTTAACTAATTTGGCAAAAATAAATAGTAATAAATAGTATTTCTTGAATATGGTATGCAGAGCGCTGAAAATTTACATGTTGTCATTATAACTACATTTTAGGATGCATTCTATTATTCCCAAAGTTATGCTCAGAGATCTTAGCTTCTCCAAGTTACATACTATTAGTCTTCACTGCCAGGCACCTGAATCCTAAGCTCATCCTTGAGTTTGTTCATACTACTGCTTTTTTGTAAAGAAAGCAGATTTTTTTCAAAAACATCTTCCTCAGCAATTTCCCACTATGTCACATTGTCCCCTTTTCTCCTGCCCAGCTCTCTAGCTTCCAGAGAGACAAACGCTGCTTTTTCATGCAGATAGACTAGAGCCTCTTTCTTTTTAAAAAATACATTTTTATTGTTATTGTAAAGATGATGCACAGAGAGGGTTACTGTTACAGAAGTCAGATAAATGAGTACATTTCTTTGTGAATAGTGTCAACTCTTCCTGTGTTTTCTCCCCGTTTATCCTCCCAACCCCCTCGCCCACAAGTTGTATAGTTCATTTTCAACAGTGCCTAGTGAGTCTCACTGCTACATTTGTTCACCCTTTGTCCCATTATTTCCGTGTTCCTCCTTACCCTCTAACAAACAGATAAACCTAAATACAAGACAAAAGGTAAGAAATCAAAAACAGCAATAGAGGAGAAAAGAGAAAATAAAACACAAAATAACAAAAAAACCTCATTTCCATTTCTTGAAATTCACTTTGATAAACATCATTTTATATGATCATATGCACATAGCTATTGAGCCTTTGTGATCCTCAAAAAAATGGAACGCTTCACAAATTTGTTTGTTGTCCTTATACAAGGGCCATGCTGATCTTGTCTGTGTCATTCCAGTTTTAGTATATGTTCAGCCAAAGCGAGCACGAGCCTCTATTCTTACACTTAGTTTAAGACATGATTCTGAGGTATTTCCTCCCCTTTTTAATTTAAGCTGTTCCAAGGATAGTAAACTGGTCATACTATATTAAATCATATCTGGCTCCTTTTTCCTAAATGGTGTTTGTAACTTTTGACTGCCAGTAGTAACATTTGTATGCTCTATTTGAAATCACATCTTAACTATCCATCCAATTGTTATCCATAGAATGATTTCCATTTTACAGCTTATAAAACAAAAGTCAAGAAAGTCAGTGAACCCTGGACTATTTAACAGCTTATTCTCTTCCTCTTAGAGAGGTGTGGCTCATCAACTTAAAGTTACTGGTGAAATACTACCTTTCAGCATTAGTTCAAATTGTGTTGTCTCATCTCACATATGGAGCAATGTGCTACTACCACCCTTATTCCTCAGTAGTCATGAGCTGTTTTCAAGTAGATAGATTTAAAAATAGTGCATGACACTTGGCCACCTGGCTATATTTTCTTTTAGCAATTAGCTCAAAGTACTATCAGATCTTCACAGACACTAGCGTGTCATAGGGAATTTCTTATATATTCCAGTGCTGAGAATACTATGGACTTCTCAGCAAATGAATATAGAATGAGTAGTAGAGGTCTTCTGAACCAATTCTAAGGAGGTTATGTGCTGGAGATGGACTAAGAAAATCTAAATTTGCTTGCTTCAATATATATAGAACATTTAGATGATTACTAAAAAATTTCAACAGTTTTAGATAATTTGAAATGTGGATTCCCTCCGTACTAGAATTTTTAAGAGAGATACAAGTAATTAAGGCAGTAGAGTATCCTTTAGGAAACATTTAAGGGACTAATGGGACAAGTTAGAGGCAAAATCAGAAGGGGTAATCTCCACTGTATTATACTAATCAATAGAAGAGAAGAAGACTATTTGGTCCAGCACTACCATCCCTTTTTGCTTTGATTATTCCAAGATAGAGTTTCAATTTTTAGTTGAGGCCAACCTGGACATGATCTTTGTATTTATGCTTCCTGCTGTAGCTCCTATGACTGATACATCCCACCCTGCCCAGCCTTTCTGTTGAGTTGGAGCTTTATAAACTTTTTGTTTGAGCTGGTTTTAGACCATGATCATAATCCCAACCTTCTTGAGTAGCTAGGGCTACAGAGGTTGCAGGCATGAACTACTACACTCAATTCTGAAATTAATTTCCCACCCAAGTCAAAGATTATATAGCACTTTTCTTTGAAAAATTATAATGAACTCCAAGTTAAGTTTCTGCTGTAGTTTCTCTTTCAAAATACTCTGTAATCTACCCAGAATATCATAATTATATAACAACTGAAAAGTGTCCTGGTTAGAGGAAGCTGTTTCATGGAGATATTCTTACATCAGCTTCATATACTCAATATAAGAAATTGCCTCTTGTATTTTTCAGATTGACTAAAAAAATCAAACAAAATTACTTAAAAGAATATTTAAATCTTTTCTAAAGGATTTAAACTATCATGTAAAATGTAGATATCCTGTGGACATAATTTGAGGTCAAAAACTTCTCAAACTATAATCATGTCTGACATTTTTTGAAGATAAAGATCAATTTTGTTCCAATTTCTGTTATCAAAATTCAAGCTTCATTTTAAAAAACTATAATTACATCTTATTATACCATGAAGTTTTCATTCTAATGCCAATACCTTTTCATTCTTAATATTACTATGTTGATAAAATTTTGTTAAATTGTCTATTTTTCTATTGCAACTGACTTAAATTGTTTTTTTCTAAGCGTGCTGATGACATCACAAGTTTAGTTGCAGATACTACACTTCTTGTACATTTTTTTGGAAAGAAAGGAAAAGCTGAGCTCAACTTTGAAGATTTTTATAGGTAAGTTTAAAAATTTTTAACTGGAAATTGTTGGAATTGCTGAAGTTGAAAGGGGGTTGCAAGTCATCTCGTATAGTGGCACCACCTCATTACTTTTATCTTAATTGGAGATGTTGTGTAACAAATATCCATTTCCTATAGTATTTGTGAACCAGTGGTTAAACTTATAATTATGACAAGTTACTGAATGACAAAAATCTTCATATATCCTCATTGTGACACCCTGTATATTAAGAAGAAACTATGTTACCAGTGCCGTAGTCTCAAGTAATATTGATAAGCAATGTGTCATCTCTACATTGGAAGGTACTTTATCACTTCCACTTAACAGATGGGGAACTCAAGCCCTCTGTTATAGCTTGTGCTTGCTTTCCCATTTACAGAGAGGAAGCTAATGAAACTGTGTATCATCATATAATAATTTTTTCCTCATAACCTTCTTTAGAAGAATAAATATTTGATCATTTATCTTGCTTATTCTTGTACTTTGATCACAGGTTCATGGATAATCTCCAAACAGAAGTTCTAGAAATAGAATTTCTTTCCTATTCTAATGGGATGAATACTATCAGTGAAGAAGATTTTGCTCATATTCTTTTACGTTATACAAATGTGGAAAATACATCAGTGTTTTTGGAAAATGTGCGTTATAGTATACCTGAAGAAAAGGTATCTAATTCCTCTTATTTTGTTATTATATACATTATCTTTGCTATTTTGGATAAGTCTACAAAATGTCTGGCTTTTATTAGTTCTCTTGCTTCTCTGTAAATTAAAAATACTTTTTTCCTTTGTTTCCTAAGTGCTGTTTAAATTTTAAAAACAATTTTAAATTCTGGCTAAATGTTCATATATTCTTGCAGAAAATCCTTACAGCTAAGAATACGATTTTTCAGGAGAATCCTGCTGAGTTATATGCTTTGTCTAGAACACAAACATCACTTCATATAAAACAGTTTGTATTGGCATTATTTCTGTCACCCTCTGTTCATTTCTATAACACCCTAATGAAAGGTCATTTAAAGAGCTCTATTGTTGAGTGAGTGATCTTATCAGCAGTTGAAGTGAGGCTTTTCATGGAGTTTGGATGGTATGAATGGCTAAGAACCTGGGACAACTGGTTATCTATTTGTTTGGTGGCAAATGTGTTGTCAGCACTTCTGAGCAGTTACATTATCTAGTGGTATTTGAATGCATCATTGCAACCAAATAGAACTGCTGTCACAAGAACCCCTTCAAGCATGGGATGTTTTGGATATACTGCCTTCTATTTGTTTATAGAAGGATCAAGTTAGTCTACCCAAGGAAAACTTGCAAATAGTTTAACTTTGTGTAGAATGGATACACTGTGACAATGTTAACAGTTCTCAAGACCCCCCCCCCCTAAGGAATGAGAAGAAAAGGAATTGAAGCATTTGGCTATTAGCTTACATTATCTTTTAATCTGAGGGCTTTTATCTGTTTTCCTCGTTAAACTGGGCCTTTCTAACCGATAGGTAAGTCTCTTAAAAAATAAAATAAGATATTGGAAACTGCACTACTCTAGCTATTAGGGCCTTTGGTGGTTTTCTTTATTTTTTTCTATTAGATGAAAACATCAAAATGTAACACAGAATGTTGAGTTCTAGGAGCGTGATGATATGCAAACTCTATCTAGTGTTTTTACAATTGAATTGTTTGCTTGTTTTTGAGAGGTGTATGTAACACAGACTGGTCTCAAACTTACAATCCTACCTTAGCTATCCAAGAATTTAGGATTGTAAGCATGCACCACTATACCTAACTGTAGTTGATTATTATATCTTGTTTGTATCTCGTTTGAAAGTAAAAAAAAATGTTAAATTCAGCTTATGAAAATGTTTAATTGATAGAAGTTTTAAGCACTAAAAGTTATTGGAATAGAAATGGAAAATTTTGCACAGACATAGTGACTCAATTTTTTTTCTGAATTACCTCATAAATTCTTTAAACAATCTTGCAAATTTTAACATCTTTCTTTTCCCAAAAAGGAATCCAGAGCTTCTAAATACTTAGCCTTGTCCAAGGATTCAAACCCAGGACTTTCTAAGCTAACAATTATTTCATCACACATTATTAATTTCCCTTTCTTCTACCTCTCATCCTTTTCTTTCCAACAGAAAAAGAAAACTTCTACTATTTCAGTGACACTTAACATTTTAAAAATACTTTGATTTTCATTCAGTTTTTAGTATTTATGATGCCATATTCTAGCTGCTAACAACAAAGTAGAAAGATAAATACATCCTTCTGTAATAGAAACAAGATTTTAATAGAGAGGCAAATTAAGTAAGGACAGAATATAAATAAATAGTATGCTTTCAGACAATGTAAAATACTTAGAAGGAGACCATGAATCATGATGGCTGGTAAAGCTGATGGACTGTTAGGGAGAGCGCTTCTGAAAAGGAGCTTTTGAGAGAGCCTCTGGGGAGTGAACTCTGCGAAGGTATGGATGAATCAGGCAGAGGTGACAGCATGTACCAAGGGCCTGTGAGGGAAACAAAACCTTAGTTTATTTGAGAAGTAGCCAGAAGGAATTTTTCTGAACTAGGAGAGACTGTGATAATTAGGATGCTGCTGCTGCTGCTGCTGCTGCTACTGCTGCTGCTGCTGCTGATGATGATGATAAAGACTGACTAACAAACATTGTAGACCAAAGAGAAGAAATTTAGATTTAATTTTAATAGTGACTCTTAAGAGTATTGTTTTTGATTACTTTTGTACCATAAGGTTAAAGAAGTTGCAGCATAGACAGCACAAACGAATATATTGGCCCTTTATAAAGAAAGCTTGCTAACCTTCTCTTAGACCTCATGAATGACATCTGTTGATTCAAGCATTGACCATCTACTATGACAGTCATTTGATCTGCTTCATGCACCTTATGTAATGTGATTGATGTTTCAATTTATGTCTCAAAAGATCATTTGGCTACTATGTAACAAAACAGACTTTAGTATGCCCAGCCTTGAAGGAAAGACAAGATTCCATTTGAAGAATTTAGATAAAAGATAAGCATTGCCTAGACTAGGACAAAAATAGGGAAAAGAAGTCATATATTGGGTCATTTAAAACATAGGGCTGATGAAACTTATTTGTAGCTTGTATTGCATTTTGAGAGAGAAAGATGAATCAAGGAGAATTAGGTGTTTGGCCTGAACCACAAGTTGAAATGACGTTTAATATTCCTACGGGCTATTCAAGTGAGGATTTTACACAAGAAGTTGGGTATATAATCTAGCATTTAAGGATAAAATTAAACCTACTGAATATTAGTCCCTGGTATTTGGACTTTCAGATGATGTCTCCAGTTAAACCTCTCCCACTGAATTTAGCTTCTTATAATGTACTGCCTACTCAACATGAGGATCTGATGGATATCTTAATGGTTGTAAAACTTGTTTCACATCTCATCACCCATTTCAGTTCACAGAAGCTTCATTCTTCCTACTCTACTTCTTAAACATTTTCACTACACCAAAAATAAACCCTACAAATATTAAGCCATTTGTCCCCATTTCTATTTCCTTTTATCCTGCAAACATTGTAGTTTGTATCTCTGTGAACTTACCTATTCAAGATATTCCATGTAGTCTTTACATTTCCAATCAATTGAATCATGTAAGATGGAACCTTTCATTGTTTTTATATACTACAAGTTATTTGTCATCCATGAACATTTGTTCTGGACTAGGGTTGCTAAGGATATATGTGTACTTGAGTACTACTTACCATTTTTTCATGTATATACCTAGAAGTAGAATTCAGAGTGGCATATTTTATTTTAGGCTTTTTTGTTGTTATAATACGTATTCTACTCTATTTTTCCATATGGCTATATGTTACTGTCTAGTTTTCTTTTCATCCTGAAGTACTTTCTTTAGCATTTTATTTTATTTTTGTTAGGGAAGGCCTGCTAGTAATAAAAATCTTCAGCTTTTGTTTATCTAAAATTCTCTTAATTTCTTATTTTTTGAAGGTGTTTGCTCACAGTCCAAATTCTTGGCTGGCCTTCTCTCTCTCTTTCTCTCTCTCTTCTCTCTTTTATCACTTGAAATATATTATCCCTTTTCCTCTGGTCTCCATAATTTGGCTAGAAATCAGAGGTTGGGCTTACTGAAGAGTCATCTTCTTGTATCTGCTTACATGATTATTTCTCTCTTTTCTATAAGTGTAACAGTGTGTTTTGGAACAAATCTCTTAAGTTTATCCTACTCAGAGTTTATTCCACATTTTAAATATGTAAACTCATATCATCCATCAAATGAAGTTTTCACCCATTATTTCTTCAGATATTTCTTTGGCTCATCTCGTTTTCTGTCTACCTTCTTTCTGTCCCATAAAACATATGTTATCACACTTGATGATGTCCCAGGGCCTCTGTCTTTATGGATTGATCTAATAGTGTTATTTCATACAGGTAGACTCATACATATATGGTTCTTTGTGTCTGACTTCCTTTACTTAGCATAACTTCTTATGGTAGTATCCACACTGTGGTCCGTTTTATTGCCAAATAATACTCTAGCGTGTAGATATGCTAGATTTTGCTATCTGTTTTTCAGTTGTTGAGTATCTGAGTTGCTTCTAATTTTGGCACCCAGAAATACATGTAAATATGTACTATTTCCAAGAGAATTTGCATGTATTTTGGGATAAATGACTAGGTCACATTACCAGCCCTGTGTTTAAAATTTTGAAGAACTGCCAAACTGTTTTCCAAGGTAACTTTACCAATTCTACAACCCCACTGGCAATACGTGGGGCTTATCATTTCCCCCTATCTTTGTTAACATTTATTATTGTCTGCCTTTTCTGTATAGTCATTCTAGTGACTGTGAAGTGATACCTCACTGATTTTGATTTGCATTTCCACAGTGACTGATTATTTCAGCAGTTTTTATGTATGATAGCCTTGTATAGACCTACCTCAAAGAAACTTCTATTCAAGTCTTTGGCCTATTTTTAAATTAATTTGTTTGTCTTTTTTGTTATTGATTTTTGAGACTCCTTTAGACCTTCTTTATGTATTATTCCTTTTTATTGCAACATTTTCTTTTTTTAAAATGTTATTGTAAATGTTGTGTATAGGAGGGTTACTGTTACATAAGCCAGGTAATTGAGTACATTTCTTTTTGACAGTTACACCCCTCCCTCATTTTCTCACATTTTTCTCATTTCCCCCTCCTACCCCCACCAAGTTGTGTAGTTCATTTCCAGTGTAGTATCCAGTGAGTGTCACTGCTGAATTGCCTCACTCTTTGTCCCACCATTTCTGTGCTTCCACTTCCCTCCCCAAGCCAGATAAACTTATATACAATGCAAGGGACACAAAAATCAAAAGCAGTGACAAAAGGGAATACACCAAACACCAAATGGGGGCGGGGGAAGATCCACGAACAGTACAGTTTAAAAAAGAAAACAAAAATCTCTTGTTTCCATTTCTTGGAGTTCATTTTAATAAACATCATTTTATATTGACCGCTATGGTCCTCTCCTAATAATGTCCTCCTTGGTTCTCATTGTGTGAATATTTAGAGTGTTGTTTAATTAATCATGTTCAAGTGTAATTATTTGTCTATCCATTGGGTTTCCGTGTAGATTTATAGGCACATTCTAATTATTACAAATGAAAGAAACCATATAGCCTGTTTCTTTGGGTCTGGCTTACTTTGCTTAATATAATTTTTCCAAGCCTTCCCTTTCCTTATAAATGGGGCAATGTCATTCTTTCTGATGGAAATATAGAATTCCATTATATATATTATATATTATATGTATATTACATATTATATATATAATGTTTTCTTGATCCATTTGATTACTGTTTATATATTAGGCCCTTATAAGACATAGATTTGCAAGCCTTGTCTCCCAATCTGCGATTTTTTAATGTCTACAAGTTTATAGTTTTGATCTAATTTATCAATTTTTTTTGTTTGTTGTGTTTTTGGTTTCATGTATTAAGAAGCCATTGTCAATTCATTGACCATAGGATTTTATCTCTGGCTTTTTCTAAGGGTTTTATACTTTTAGTTTTAAATTTTAGGTCTTTGATTAATTTTGAGTTAATTTATGGACAGTGTGTAAAGGTTTGCTCCCCTTTTTTTGAATATGTATATTTAGTTGCCCAGACCATTTGTTAAAGAGCCTATTCTTTCCTCAATAAATGGTAGTGGTACTCTTGTTAAAAAGCAATTGACCAAATATAGGTTTATTTCTGTGCTTTCAGTGTTATATATTTTAGATGCTTTGTTTTACATTTTCCAGTCATTATTGCTTTATCTTTGTTAGCAAGTAGGCTACTTCTTTCCTCTTACCTTTATGGAATGTGTACCATTCAAATCCCAGTAGTTCATTGTAGTGGTAATTCTAGGAGACAGCATAGGGAGGTAGGAAAAAGAAATGGCCGTGTTCATCTCTTCTCCCCTCTTCTGTGTCTCATGTTCTGGATGATTGCTTGATTATCTCCTTCAAAATAAAGATACCACTTATTGTTTCATATGTTTAAGCACAAGATGTTTAACTTATACCAAAGTATTATTTTGATGCTAGTATCTCATGAATGTAATCAGGAGGCTGAGATCTAAATGATTATGCTTCCAAGCAAGCCCAGGCACAAAAAGCTTTTGAGACTCTATCTCCAAAATAATTAGCAAAAACTTGGCTGAAGATGAGGCTGAAGTGATAGAGCAACAGCAGTGAGGAAGAAAGCCAAGCAAATGCAAAAGACCCTGAGTTCAAATCCCAATACCAGCAAAAACAAGACAAAATAAAAAAGGATTGTTTTTGAATTTGATCTGTATTACCATTATATTAAAAATTAAACCCTCTGTTCTTCTCAGTGTACCTATTCAATTGTGTTAATTGTGTTGAAAATACACATACTAAATGTAGTTTCTCAAGTTCAGATTTGTATTCTCAAAGATAGCACACTTGCATTTCAAATAACTTTCTTCTCTAATTCAAGCTGAATCAGTGGTAGCATCTGTCCTCTGTGCATGTGACATTCCAGAGGCGGCTGCTCTGGCTCTGGTGTTGGGCTTGGTGCTGGGTCTGCACAGTCAGTACTTCTTCCTGCCGTCTTGGCAGCAAGTTCAAATAAACTATTTATGCTTAGTAAACATTTTGAGTTTGTTCTGTCAGTGCGAAGATGTGATCTAATGCTGAATCATATTTAAGGAGTACCTATAAAAGACAAACTTGTTTATGGATTTCATTTCTTTATCATTATATTTACACTGTTAAAAATATTGGGCCTTAACATTTTTATTGACTTGACAGTAGGGAAAAAAAAATCACTTATTATGTTGACAGTAACACTAGTCGTTGGAAATAAATCTGAGTGAATCATATATTCCTTTTGGAGACAAAGTTTCTAAAATGTGTCCTAAAATAGTTACAAGATATACTGCAAATGTTTAATCACTTTTCTTCTGTTTTTTAGTTTATAATACTTACTTTAATAAATTTGGATGTACTAATTACATTTCTATTTATTTTCCAAAATTAGGGCATCACATTTGATGAATTCAGGTCATTTTTCCAGTTTTTAAATAACTTAGAAGACTTTGCGATAGCCCTCAACATGTATAACTTTGCAAGTCGCTCTATAGGACAAGGTAAGTAATCGTTCTTCAAGAGTTAAAAGCAGAGCCAGGCATGTTGCGACATATCTATAATCCCAGCTACTCAGGAGTCAGAGATTGAGAGGATTGTGGTTCAAGGCCAGCCAAGGCAAAAACTTTTCAAGACTATGGTCTCAACCAAGAAACAAGGGTTGGTTGGTGGTTTGCATCTGTAATCCCAGCTATTAGGAGGCCTAGAGAGGAGGATGACAGGCTTAGACTAGCCTTGGGCAAAATATGAGACTCTATTCACAAAGTAACTAAAACAAAAAAGGGCTAGGATGTGGCTCAGGTGATAATACACTTGCCTAGTCACAACAAAAAAAAGGTGAAGAGCAAAAAAAAAATAATAATAATACTCCATATTTTTTTAGAGATTTTTTCCAACAGGTTAATTAAATATGCTGTGATTTCCTGCTTTCAGTGTGAAATAGGTCTGACACTTTAAGAAAAATTTAAAGAAATATTCTAAATATTTCACTGAACATATTTTACTCTCTTTCATAATAAAGAAAAGCTAGTCATGTTGGTTTACAGTGTTTTAAAAGTTCAAGGAAGAAAGAACCTCGTGGACTCAGTAACATAGAGGGACACGTGGCCAGCTAGCTGTGCCTCAGAAATTCCTACAGGACGCTGTTTATACTACTGATTACCCCTGCTAGCTCAAACACCTGAAATTTCTTATCAGAGCCACCTCTTCACCATGAACTTAGGATAACTGATACAAACAACTGAAGGGAGGAAGGGTTGATTTTGGCTTCTAACTTCAGAGGTATCAGTTCCTGCTGGGGAGAAGGTATGGTAGAATAGAACAGATCTGATCATTGAGGCCTGGAAGCAGAGAGAAGCAGGCCTCCTCTTTCATCTCCCTTTATTCCATGAGGATCCCTGCTGTTCAGGGAAGGTCTTCCCTCTTAGTTCTGTTGGGAAACACTATTACAGACACACCCAAAGATGAGCTTTCCTTATCTCTGAGCTTCTTAATCCAATCAAAGTGACAACCAAAGTTAACCATCACACTGACTTTTCAGAATGATGTATAAGATCAAATTGGTTTAACTTACATAGAAATACAGCTTAAATAGAAATACATACAATGCTACCACCTCAGAACTAGCTCACTCTTACCCTGTAGACTGATTAACAAGCTAGAATTGTTCTAGGATTCTATGGTTAACAGTCATCTTCTGTATCCTTGTGGCCTTATCCTTGACATAGCAAAACTTTCTGTTTGTTTTTTAAACATGAATTTATTTGTTCCTGACATAAGTTAATATCTTGGCTCAAATCTTAGAAGACAGTCTTGGGTTTTTATGACCATATTTCAGGCAGGAAGGAATAGCCATAGCCATTAATCAAGATATATTGTACTTATAAGCTGCTTTGTTAAATGGCAGCTCCTTTGTATAATTACTTAAAGATAATTTTTTAAGATAGTAATTAGAAAAACCACAGGAAGAACAACAGTATGTGTCAGTAAGGATCTAAATTCAAATCCCAGCCAAACACACACACACACGCACACACACACACACGTAATAATCTATTTTATAGCTGCATTTATTTATCTACTGAGTAAGAGAAACCTGAAATGGTTCACATTTTATTTTTTCTCTAGATGGGTGTTCAAACACATCTTCCCAATCCATTTTAGTGTTTTCGAACCAAAACTTTTAGAAGGCATACCTTCATTAATAAGCCCCTTAACTAGTATTATAAACCTTTATAAATAAGATAAGCTGGGCACCCAGTTTCTCACTCCTGTAACCCTAGCCTCTCAGGATGCTGAGATCTGAGGGCTGTGGTTGGACGCCAGCCTGGGCAGAAAAGTCCCCATGAGACTCTTACCTCAAAAATTGGGAGTGGCACTGTAACTCAAGTGGTAGAGCTCTAGCCTTGAGCATGAAGAGGATCAGGCACTGTATTGAAGTCCCACAACTGACAAAAAACAAAACAAAAACAAAAACAAAGTAATCAATATCCGTTTACTTAGTTTAGAATAGACCATTGCTCTTTTTGAAACCAGGAAATGTAAGAAATAAAATGTCATTATTCCAAGTGTTGCTTCCACTAGCATCTTCTTTGAGTTTTTTCTGTGTAGAACTGTAATAGTAGCCACCTATATCCTAGCCTATCACACTGTCTGTTTTCCTTCCTGATGTTTCTCAGATAACTCTCAGCTGAAGCCTTCGAAAGCACAAGTTAACCTTTTCTTTGACACATCCACTATGGAGGCTTCAGTTGCCCAGTTGCCCATTAGAGTTACACGTTCTTCACCTCATAGTCTGTAGAGCTTCTCCTGATCCCTTATGTCCTCTGCGCTCTATCAAACCAGACTAAGCCCTGTTCTTTCATTGCCCATCTCTTCCCTCTCCTACTCCCTACTGCACAAGGAAGATCACTCATCTCTACAGGTCCTGGTTCTTGGTTGGTAATTTTTCTGTGGCTACATGTAGTGGTTATTTGGACTTGTCTGCCATCTGAACTGTTTGTTGAAACTTATTTATCTTAACCTCTAAAAAATCTGTTACTGATAGTGGATGCCCTTTAAACATTCATTGATTGTGAATGTAGTATTAACCTGAAATACAGCTGCTTATTGCTTTCCTTATTAAGACTACAAAATGTCTTTTTATTAAAAACATGATGATTAATGAAGTTGTGTTATATAATTTTATAATCCATATTAGCAAACAACTTCTTTTGCAACCATTCTAGTAATTAGCGTATACTAAAATGATGTTAATGGTCTACTTTTTTCTTTTTATGCAACATATGTCTAGATGAATTTAAACGTGCCGTCTATGTAGCTACTGGACTCAAACTTTCACCACATTTAGTGAATACTGTCTTCAAGATTTTTGATGTTGACAAAGATGATCAATTAAGTTATAAAGAATTTATTGGAATTATGAAAGACAGACTCCATAGAGGATTCCGGGTAAACCTACAAATTTCCTGTCTTTTGATATTCTTTTTGAAAACTAAGGGAAAAACATCTAAAAAGCAGTTTGTGTAAATTTTAAGAATATCATCATCAAATGCTTTATTTGGGGAAAAAACCGTGGGTCTCATATTCTTTGAAGGCGAATTGAAATGATAGAATATAGTACTTGTTCAAAACTATAAATTCAGTTTGACTTTTAGTAATTTATTTTCATATTCTGTTAGCTTGATTAATGTCTTTGTCCCAGTTTTGGTAAAAAAGTGTTGCCAAGTATTTTTGAAAAATCTTGTCTGCACATTGAGTGTTCAGACTTGATGAGACACATTTCTGTTAGTCCATCTGAGGCTCTTAAGTAGCTTATTCACTAGTGTTTGTATGGAAAATATTTTTTTCTTGTTAACATACTAAAAAATGCCTACTAGAAATTTAGTGATTGTTTTTTAAAAGCATGCTTTAAAGTTTGAAATATACTGGATATACCTAATACAATTCTGGATGTGCCATGAATAGAAAAAGAAAAGAGGAAATCTTATAAAATTAACAGCTAGTAAGTAATTCAGTCTAATCTACACTGCAGATGTATCCCTAGGAATGATGCAAGACAAAAATCTATATAGAAAAGTACATTAACATAAACAATATGTTTAAGATTATGAGGACTTTAATCCAAGCTGCCTTAATAAGATACTATCTACTTGACTGCTACCTTCTAGTTAGTTGTTAACATTTCATGTGGTACCACAAACATCTGAAAAGAAACACTGAAAATCATGTATTTTCCTCAATAATTTTATCATTGCATGATCAAATTGAATATAAACTATACTCTAAACTTTTTACACTATATTTCTCGCTTAGATGTTATATTTTTTTTAAATGTACATGCTTATTGCATATCTTTGATCATATAGCTATCTATGCACACCAAACTGTTTTATTTTTCAGCTGGCAGATATTAACTGTATATATTTATGTTGTGGATAATTATATAAGCTAACTAGTGTCCATTTCTCACTTTTATAGTGAGAACCTTTTAAATCTATTTTATGAACAGTTTTGAAATATATGTGACTATTAACCATGGCCACTTTTCTGTGGAATTGATTTTTCCTTACTGGCACTTCTGTAGCTTTTGGTCAGCTTCTTCCAGTCTGATAACCAATCTTCTACTCGTAAGTTTGACTGCTTTAGATTTCTATGTATATGTGACATCATGTTGTTTTATTTTCTTTCTCTACATTTGAACATTTTTATCCTCTGTTTTGCAGGGTTATAAAACAGTCCAAAAGTATACTACTTTCAAATCATGCCTGAAAAAAGAACTTCACAGCAGATAAGTATGTTAACTTCTTTCTGCCCACTTGTCCAATAACAGTGTCCAATTTTTCTGTCATAACATTTTTCTGTGATAACATTTTGAAAATAGATGAAAGGGCTAGGGGTGTAGTTTAGTGGTGGAGCCTTGCATTGAATCCCCAGGATGCACATGTGCCTGTGCGTGCACATGCACACACACACACACACACACACACACACACATACACACACACACACACACACATACATACATATGTACATACACACAAAATAGCCAAAAGATAATTCAGTTCTGATCTGTGGTTTAATTTTAACTTATAAGAATGTCTTGATTCAAAAATTTCTATGTTAAACTTTGAATTTGATCCTGAGCAGATTCAGTATAATGAATCCTATAATATAATCAATTGTACTTTTATAATCTAGCATCATTAACACCTAAGGAGTTTTTGCTACTAATTGGAGGATCATTATTCTGAATTTCTTCCAAGTTTTTGAAGTATTACTTAAGGTGCTTGACACTGTAAATCTTCTTCTGGTACTTCATTTACTTCCTATTTGACCACAGAGAAAATCAAGGGTTGGCAAGTATTCCTCAAGATTAGATGCTAGTAAGTGACAGGCCATTGTTTCTGGTGGCAAAACTGTCTTAATTAATGTTTGCTACACTGTCACCATAAATTACGATAATTAAAGAAGATTCAGAGGATCTATTCCAATTGTACTCACCCAAAGAATTATCTCAAACTTACTAATCTTTTTTTTTTTTAAGTCAACTGTAGCTATCTGATTTTGGTCAGTTGTGTGTTCTGATTAGTTAGGTTTCCACATATAGGTTTCATTGTTTAAAATCAATCAAGAGCAATGAGCAGTTACATTTCACATAGGTAGTTTTTGCTATTTACTCATGCTGGAAGCATCTTACATCTTTTTCACATCAATGCATATTTTTCTATATAAGCAAAAATGTTGCTCTGTCAAGTTTGGGAACTATAATAAAATTGGCTAAATAATTTCCTTCTCTACAGGATTTATCAGATTTTAATATTTGAGTATTTGTTTTGCCTTCCTAAAAGAAACTATAGTGATGATATTTTGCAAAGTAGTTGGGAGATCTAGTGATTTATGGAACCACTTCAGAAAATGGCTAGTCTCAAATGTTTAGAGATAAAGATAATTACTGTGATTGAACTAACAAGAAAAGTTAGGTCTTCCTAATCTCTGTTTTAAAGAATTTTATACTTCTCTGTGAAATCTTAAATGGTAATACATTTAGAAAGTAGGACCATTCCCTTTATACATCCTTCTTAGTAGAGTGGTCCCAAAGAACTAGAACAGTATCACACTTTCGATTTTGTGCCTAGAATAACAGCTAGAGATTGCAGTCTCTTTCTAGGGCTGTCTAAGACTTCATATGAGAGAAGTTTCTAAAGAGAACACTGAACTTTTCAAGGAAATATTTTGTACTATTTGCTTATATTTTATGTAGGATGCTTTTATTTGGTGCCTATTGTTTCACATTTTCATAAGAATTTTGACTAATGTCATTATGTCTGAGTTGTATCCTAAGTATTGCTTGTGTATTGTGTTTTTTATTAGACACTCCTAAAACAAAGTTTAAAGGATTTCTATCGTTATGAAAACTGCAAGAAGCAAAAATTTCTGAGAGTGGAAGCAGGTCTGAAGCCAGAATATGTAGAAAATGAAGGAAAGAGTGAAAAGTTTTGAAATTTATATATATTTTTTGAACTGGATTCTTAACAAAGATAAAATGCATCTTCTCACCGCAATGTTAAATACGATCAAGTTGAGCCTTTACCCTGTTTCCTGAACTTTCTGCACTTTTTCATTCCCTCAAGTATACAGGTACTTCCAATGACTCATATGAGAATGTATTTTAATTTTTTTATTTATTTATTAGAGATTTATTTTATTTCAAGTATAAAGTATGACCCATAGACCACCTAACATGAGCAACACGTTTTCTTTTGCTTTGGACAATAAGCTTATTTTCAGAAAATAAATACTGTTTTCAGATTTGTCTTTGGACCCTTGAAATTTTTAATAATTGCCTGTCATTTATTAGTTGAAATGATTTTGAAAACAAATAGAATTAAGCTATTAAATAATATGATGGTTTACATTGTACTTTTAACTTTTAAGAGTACTGAAGTAACATTGTTTGACTGGTGTAGATTCATTTTGTTTTTGTTTTGTTTTATTTTTTGGTTTTTGTCTTGTTTTTGTGTATTTACCAAAGTCAACAGGATTTCTGGTCCTTTTTAATGTAGAAAGAAATGTGAAATGTAGGCTAAGTAAAGACATATCTTGACAGTTAGGAGGGACAGTTGTAACAAGACTCATTGTTACTATTTTAAATACAGTATTGTTCCTGAATGTAGTGGTATGTATTAATAGCACTAAGTAGTACCTTGAAGCTCTGTAATTTTTTGCAAATTGTTAATATATATTCATAGCATCAAAGTGTGCTATAAAGACTAAAATAATCCAGAAGACTGATGTATATTTCAGCAGAAGATAATATTTTGTTTCTTGCAGAAGGACCATGTACAAAAGTGACACAAATACCTAGTAATAATGGATAACTTAAATATAATGCATCATTTCAAAATAATATATCTTACAAGTGAAAATAAAACTTTGTATTGAAAAAACCCACAGTCACATTGAGAAATAATGTACAAGTACTTCATAAATTAATATAAATTTAAACTATTTAAGAACAATACAATGAATTTAAGTTAGTATATTTATATATTGCATGTGGACTATAAGTTCATATATCTTCCTTTTTAAGACATATTTAATGTAAGTTATATACACTCCACTTGATCTTGCTTTTGCATATGAAAATAGGAAGCACTTTGTTTTTATAAGTTATTAAATGTGAAATTGGCCTTCATCAGTTTGTTTATAAAAGTAATGTTATTTCCAAAATGTCATTACCAATGATTTGTGTTTGTTATACTTTTTCTTTTTAGTCATTCTTTTTTTGGATATTATTTATTATGTCAATATGAAAGCATAGATTCATAAGTTTAAGAATACCACATAGTATAATTTAACTTCACCTGTTTTGAATGTTGAGTCAATTGATTGTCTAAATGCAGATGCCTGTTTACTTATGTATCATATCTCAGGTCTTTGTTGTTTATACTGAATGTTGTCAATGTTTGGTTTGCCAAGTAATTGAAAAAATACATTTCAGTCTGGCTGCAAATTATATTCTCACACACACATTAATCTCACAGATTAAAAATTGAATTAGTCATTCTGAAGTCCTTCAGAATGCTGTCATTCTCTCAATCCATTCTCTGTCATTATTACTTATATAATCATTCTTTATTGTATATTGAAATGAATAGGTGAATGTGTTTATAAGGCTGAAAGATAATATAAAATGAGAATGAATATCATATTCTAATTAATTAAAATATAAAAAATAGTAAAATATACTGATCCTCTTCATAATATCACTCTTCAACTTTTTCATATAAATTCAGTGGTAAAAAAAATCTTAATGTTGTTTACATTATTTTAAATATATATAAATGTTGTAGTACCTCTATGCTATTATTTTCAGTTTGCCTTCTACAAACTATAATTTGCAAAAGATAAGCTATCCATAAAATTTTAGTATTATATTTTTACAAAAATCCTGTGTAATAAGCATATATGGTACTAATAAATTCATTTAACCTAAATCACAATTAATTATCATTATAAGTTATAACTATAAAACTATATGTCTTCAAGTCTTATCTTAAAATAAATAGAGTTGCCCTTGAATCAAGAAACATTGTACTTTGTTTCTATTCTCCTTTTTTCTTTATTTTTTTTCTGTATGGTGTACGGAGCCAGCATACTGGGCAAGCGGTCTACCAATGGGGCCACACTTTCAGCTCTTTTGTTTGTTTTGGTTTTTTATTTTGATTTTCAGTGAGGGTCTCATTAGCTTTTGCCTGGAATGGCCTTCAACCTACAGGTTTATTGTTTCTACCAGTAGCTGAGATTATAGGCATGTTACCATGGCTCCCATCTGTACTTTGCTGTTCAATATATCTGTGGACTAAGGGCTTTCTGAAAATATCACCTTTAAACTTCAGAAATATTCATGAATTAACATTGATCTTGTACACTCTTCTATGGCAGTTGCACACCAGAGAAATTTACCCCACAAACACCTTTGCAGGTAAAAAATTAGTGTCTTATAGCCTCTTGATGAACCTTAGAGGAATCCCAGTAATATAGATCTGTGGTTAACACTAGAAAGCTTTGCAGAAAGTTTACATGTAACTTAATGGATTATCAATTTTACTTCCCAGCCCTTACTATTTAAATGGTTTATAATAATAATAATGACTTTTGGTAGCACTGAGGTTTAAGTCTCAGGAGCTAAAAACTTGCTCAGCCTGCTTGATCAGTTGATGCCCTACTACTTGAACCATGCCTCTAGCCTTGCTTTTTGCTGGTTATTTTGTATAAGAGTCTCACAGACTTTTCTGCCCTACTTGGATTCAAACTTCAATCCTCCAGATTTCAGCCTCCTAAGTAGCATGAAGCCACCAGCACCTAACTAGCCACTAGCACCTGACTAGCATTTCAACTTTCTTAGTAACTCAATGTCACCCCCTGTACTATGTGAAATATATTTATAATAAATCCTCTGTATCACAATATTTTTGTAGTGCATCTTAGGAGTAGACCTATATTGTAACTATATGCACATAAATATACAGTGCTCAGTTAAAAGTAAAAACATTGTTATATAGTTTGTTCTGGGAAGGATAAATTTTGCCAAACATTGTGAGAGAAAAGAGGGACAGGTGATAGTAAGAAATAGAATAGAAAAAACTAATATCATGGAAAAGTGATTCAAATAATACTTTTTCCCCCACTAGGATTGAGTAGATAGGAAAATAAATGCAAATATAAATCAAAATGATAATATTTCCTTTCATATTCCATCATACAAACATAGTTTTATAGTATATAGTGTTGGTAGTACATGGGGAAATTTAGTCCTCTCAACATTGGTAAGGCTACAAGTTACAATGTGATTGAAGGACAATACAAAACTACATCAAATCATTAACCAAGAATTTTAATTATGGGATTATACTATCCCAATACATCTATAATTCTTCATGTTGATGAGTATTACTTCATGAAATATGCTAAAATGAAAAGGTGGGAGTTTTATTTATGGGTTGACATGATGTGATCTGCAATATATTTTTTATGAGAGCAGAATATGCTATACAAAATGTGTGTCCTGCTACTGTTTATGTTCATAGCATACCTTCACTGCATAGAACAATACTTTGATTTTGATAAAGTTCTATGGACCTATTTTTTACAAGCCAACAATCTAAAACCTTACTTTAAAATCACTATGTCTTTTCTTTTTTCCATCTCTCCCTTAACTTTGTACCATATAAACAATGGCTTGCTTCCTGCTGACTGATTCAAAGTTTGGCTCCTATTTTTGTTCAGAAAAGAGATCTTGAATCTCCTTGTGCCAGTGCAGTCTGCTCTCTGTGAGTAGAATATCTCTTGTTCACCCTCTGAAGTGTGGGAGAGGAAAGGAGAAAGCTGCAGGGAGGTACCTGAAACGTGAGTGTGAGCTAATGAACAGAATGTCAGTACACGTGGTGTGCAGTGCAACTTTCAGGTGTTCCAGAGCTCCTTTTGAAAGCTTTTGGGAAGTCTTCAGTGGGGATTTTCTTCGTTCAGGAAATCATTCTGTTACCAGTATTTTTAAGTTCGGTTTGGTTTTGTTAAATTATCTGTTTGTAAGACATAAAAAGTTTGTCCCTGTACTCATTTATTTGCTTGCCCTCAAAAAAGAAAGCTTTACCTAAAAAAAAAAAAAAGTCCTTTTTCTATCTTGTTAGTACTGTTTCAATGAGTAGGAAAATAAACATTTGTTCAAAACAACATACAGAATGTAGCATGTGTAGGGAAGTACCCAAAGGAATTCAATGGGGTTGCCTTGAAGGAAGGGACCCTAGTTATAGTTAATGAACTGTTACTGAACTTTTTGAATGTTTTTAGCTTGAGTTTACTTTTTTCAAGAAAAGCACATTGTTTTTTAACTTGGGATTTCAGTTTAATAAAAGGGGGAATAAACATAAAGGTCGTAAGTTGGATGGATTTGTCACCAAATCTAGAGTTACTTCATATAGAAAGAGACAATTCTAAGGAAATAAAAGCGAAGTAAAATGACATATGTAATTTTATGAAACTACCACAAAGGTTAAACTTAGTAGCTCTGGAAAAGGAATGGAGTAAACATAGGTGGAAATAGTTACTGGACTGAAGGACCTGAGGATGGCCGCCATTTTCTATGCAGAACATAGGCTGGGTCACATTTACCATGAGACAGCCGAACTTGGTTCTTAATCTAATTTAGTATGGCAGTTCCTATCTGCATACTTCAAACAAGTAGCTCAAAGCAAGCAAGTAGATGAATCAACTAGCTTAAAAGTAAGCAGATTAGTCTGGTACTAGGTTTTAAGCTGAGGTAAAATGAGAGTTTAGAACAGAATGAAGGACAATAAATTTCATTCTGTGCCATATATTGCCTTAGCAAGCTGTAGTTATTATAAGAGTTAAAAGTTCAAGCTGAAAACTCTACAGAAAGGCACCTTGAAAATCTATACTTTTTTTTATGTCATTGCTCTTTGGTGCTAAGAAGTTCTCAAGAAAGTGAGTATCTCATGTACCATTTGTGCTATAATATTTAATTACAGTGAGTGTACAGAAGATTAGCTGTCTCAAAGATTCTTTTGAAATCAGATTGCACATCAAAACTGCATTGTGCCTGCTAAGTAAGCAAATTTAAGAAAGAAAAGAAGGTGATGTCAAGATGTATTGCAAAATGAACATATAAAGGAATAGGATTTGCTAGGTGTTCAGCCTATTAAAGCATAGCAAATGTCAGCACTCATTTTGTCAACTAAATATACTTTTTTCCCCAAATTAACAAAGATTCAGCCCATGCAAAGTATACTTTAGTTAGTGTTTAGACTAAGAACTAAATGAAGCAACAAGAAAATAATGAATTATACTAACAATTTCTTATATTGATTGATATAGTACCTGCTAAATAAGTATTTTGTTTAGATAAAGATAATTATCCAGGTAGTTATTTAGATAAAGGCACTTGTT